TCTTTGGGAGTATGTTGTTCCGCATACTCCCAAACGGTTTGGAGTTTTAACAAGCTTGTCATGGCTAAAAATAGTCGTAACGGTAGCGTAAATAGCCAGGTATTTGTAATCTTGTCTAATAGGTTGTGTTCATGTTGTTCTATTTCAGTTGGAGGGAAGCTGCCAATGTAACTCTGTGGAAAAGAAGCATTTTTTTTAAGAGATATAAAAAAGGTCTGAATGTTTTCTCAGATCATAATTTTATAGTGATTGAATTCACACATTTGTATTAGCATTTTTGTGTTATTTTTACTAGCATACAGACACCTTTTATGAGAAATTGTTTACACCATATTTAACATGTATGGACAGAAAAGATGTCAACATTTCTGTAAAGTTTTGTTTCATGCGGATTGGCCCAAGAATTACACAGAAATCATCTCTCAACTACTACAAGAAGTCTGTTTTTTGCCCATAGATCCATGCTTCTGACTGGTACCATAGTTACCAGGAGAGATTTTTCCAGCTGACCTCCACCACAATTTTAAACTCTTTGGAATGCTGTGATGTCACATGAACACAACCTATTGTTTCCCTTGTGGGGTTGGAAATTGAACAAGAACGCTTCATAACTTTGCATTTGAGTCTAATTTTGTCATGGAATTACCTTGGTTCTAAATGCAAATATCAGGTGTTATGTAATGGGCCGGTTACCAAAACTGCTCCCATGTAAACAAATAGCACAGCGCGCCTCCACCGGCAGACAGGTGTGGTATATAGAGACTTCTCCTTAACGCGATGATACATTTTTATTATAATCTTCCCTATTATGTTGGTAAATGCTGCGTATTGTGGCAGGAGACCTTTTGAAAAAACCTGCTTTTTTACGGCCAGTGCTTTTGTTGCTTGACATTGCCATTCTCTCTATTGTGAGGAAGACTTGGTGAAAGGGCAGCTGATGTAATAGCCTAACAATACACAGTGAAACCTGAACTTAAACACAAGACTCTATATCAGGAGTCAGGAAACTTACAGTATTTGATCATGACGGATCGCAGCAGCAGACATAACGCCATTTATAATGCACAACTCTTCAACGTTGTCCTGATCGTGTATGACATGTTCTCATATTTTTCATTGTCTATATATATTTCGAATCATTCCATTGCTGGTTGGGCTTACAATCAGACGTATAATATGCTTTCCTCATTGGATGGTCGTTGCCTTAGATGTATTTGGAGGGTGCCACTGGGGTTGTGACGCAAAGTGCACCCCGGATCTTTTGGCGTCCACTGACAGATACAAATTTAAGGGCAGTTTTTTTTTTTTTTCATATCGGCTGCATCGGCTCTGGGCCCTTCCGTGTTTTGTGTTCGGATCTCCTGTGTATGCATACTGTATCTTTTTTGCCTTGATTATGAAGAAAATATATCTATTTTTTGTAACTGTTCTCTGATGTGCCATAACTCATGTTTTCTTGCACACTGTTAATATTTTGTGGATATTGCTGTTTAAAAAAAAAAGATATTGAGAAGTAGATAACATTAATAAAAAGATGATATAATAACAGCTTTTGTGGTTGTGTTGTTTATGGTTTATTGGGTGTTGTAGACAATGGAACGGTTTGCACAAAACTCACACATAATTTTTACTGTGGGCGATCTATATTGCTCCGAAGTCAATACAGGACCAGAGAGAAAAGATTGTACACTTCTAGCACATTAATAATTACAAAAAAAATGAACTATATGCTGCATTCCATCAAGGATGAAGCTAGAATACTCAATTGTTATAGTAATTGAGTATTCTACTAAGAATTTAATTTTGAAGACGTATTATTTACTATAGTTCAAACAGATAAGGGGTGTCTCTGCGTGAATTAAACATTTCAAAATTAGTACTAATAGTGTTTCTTTGTGTGAAAGTTGCCAATTGGGCCTCTTGCGCCAGGTCCAAATTAGAAAGATCTGAACTACAGTATATTAAAGCTGGAGGACCTAACTTTAAAACCACAAAAAATGAGTATCCCTAGGTTTCGGAATTGTTTGGTTCGATCACTAGTTTTCGCATGCAGGTATTTTAAGTGAGACCAGCCCTCACTCTGCTCACAGTGTGTAAAAACATCTTTCTGTGGGGACAAACCAAATGTTTGAAACAGAAAAGATACATACTCTAGCTTCAATAGAACAAGGAGATTCTTAGTATTATTAAAGGTCCTTGTTCTCAGCAGTATCTTCGGGCTGACCTCAACAAAAGGTCAATGACAAGGAGCAATTTGAGTCCTTCACTGATAAGCTTTCATAAGTTATATGAAAGTTATTTGTTATCATTTAACTTTATTAGTTGGCCCTACACAAAAAAAAATCTAATTGTGGCAGAATTATAATAGTAGTGGAAGTTTCAGGCCACAATCTCTTTACGAAAATGCCCCAACAAACAGTTTACATGTTTAGTTGAACATTCCATGGTGATAAAAAAGTGAAGAGCCATTTAATTCATGATACCACATTGAATCTCTACTGAGTCAATTCCTTGGCTTTAAAGTTAAAAGTAAAGTTAAAGCTACAGTCAATTGCAATGAAGTTGGTCATTGTATTTGCTTTGTTGTAATGTAGCATTAGCCGGAATTCTTTGACAATGAGTGTTATATTTTACTGTTTATGGAATTCTATTTTGCACTAACACTGAAGTACAAACAGTGAGTACATGTCCCAGTATCTGCAGAATCACATGCCGTCTGCTCGCACATGCACACTGTCCATAAACCATTGCCCTCTGACACAAAGAGACAAGGTGAGGCCTCGCTCTCACTATCATTTCCCAAGAATCCCATTGTCCTTTAAAATATGCATGTCTTTCTTGAACTATTGTCTTGCCCTACCTCAGCGACCGGTCACAAGTCTCTTCTGAGTATTTAAAGCTCCTTCCACCCTAAGGCGAGTCCGAGCCAATGAAAACGAAGGCGGGTGCACCACAGCCTATCGCAAGCAGAGCCCCCTCCCCGTGTGGGTTAGTGGTAAACACATCTGAGGCCCATGTGCTAAATGTTCCCTGTGTTCCTTGTAGGCAGGAACAGACATGTGAGCAGGGGTGGGGACCAGAGGGGTAGAAGAAAACCACTCTTTATAGGGACAAGCTGCTTCCACAACAGAGACAAACTTGCTCAATAGAAACACCTTAAATACCTTTCCACCAAATCAAAGCTATTAAGCGTGTACAGTATGTGCAGATGACTTGATGGGACGGTGTGTTAGGATTGGCCTGTTCTGCCAGTTTTGTTTGTCCCAGCCAAATATGCTTCCACCTCCACCCTGCAGATTTCCCTCAGCAGCCTCTTCTATTTACAATAACAGGAGCAGGACACGTCTTTCCAGCCACAATGCAAAAGACTGTTGCGTGGCACGGCTGAGATTGCCACTCCATGACGCATGCACCGGCGTTTGTTTTGAAATGGGATACGAGCGCTGGGAGAGGACTGATTGATTCTTTTTTTTTTAAAGACCATAATAGCTATGGGAGGCCAAGTGTGCAGACTGCAGTCATTTGCATAAGCCAGGTATTGGGATGTCGTAAGTGGCAACAGAATAAGCAGAAATAGTTGAAGTGTGAGTAGTTTAAGTTTCTTCTGTAAAAATATAAAGATAAGCTACTTTAAAAATATGTCAAACTTTTTGTACTTGTGTGAAACAGATGTGTTTTGGTGCAATAAAAATAGAGTCACCCCTGCTTGAAAGTACTGCCTCTAACCAAACAAGAAGAGGAAAACACAAACATATTAGCACATTTTCCAAATAGAAACAACCCTTTTTGCAACTGAGCTCTATGTAAAACTGGAGTTTGCAGATGAGAGACTACACTGAGACCAGATTTTGTAGGAAAACAATAATTTATTGAATCTCAAGCATGTAATATCACTCTCATATCACCCCAGTCTTGTCTGCTCTTCATTGGCTCCCTGTAAAATTCCGGATTGATTTTAAGATACTAGTGCTGACTTTCAGAGCCTTAAACGGTCAGGCTCCACAGTACATCCTGGACCTTTTGTGCCCATATTCCTCTGGCCGCACCCTTCGGTCCTCTGGTCAGAACTTGCTTGTTGTCCCAAAGACTCGTTATAAAACTCGAGGGGACCTATCTTTCCAGTCCGCTGCTCCCAGACTGTGGAACGCCTTGCCCCTGTCTCTGCGTCTGGCCGGATCTGTGGACTCTTTTAAAAAGGACCTGAAGACATGTCTATTCAAAAAAGCTTTTGGTTGATGGGTTTTTCACTAGTGTCACTTTGACTTTACAGATGTCCCCACATTTTTATTGTTTTTGCTCTTACCCTGTACAGCACTTTGTGATTTTATCTGTGAAAAGCGCTTTATAAATAAACTTTACTTACTTACTTACTTACTTACTAATAAATAACTGGAAAAGTGCGCTACAAAAAATCAATACATTAAATGCATAAGAGATTCAGTTCAAGTATTGCAGTAGGTAGTCTTCTCCAAATGAGGTACATTATAACACTATCAAATATAATGTCCATTCATGCTTGAGTTTCCACAGCTTCTGCGCAGGTCTGCTCCACACGCCCAACCTCTGCTAAATAAAGACACAATTGTGCGTGCATGCATCCCGGGCATACACTCAATTACGCACACCTTCTTTTTCTTCTTGTCTTTCCAAACGGCTCTCCCAACTCACGCCAGAGGAATGTCATACCGGTGAAAGTATGTCCGACATTCCTGGGTGCTCCACAGGCTGCACTGGTCTGACATGGCCTTGGGTGTGACTTTGATCCGCCAGCCTTCCTCCACTGGTCCGCACGGCACGCACACCCAGTAAACCAACCATTTATGTGGAGAACCTCCAGTAACATTTCCTGTATGTCCTGCTCCATTGTGTACCGGTATCAGGTGGCCCTCACAGTCAGAGCCACTTGAGGTCATCACTGCAGCTTTGAAGGCTTGAGTTAATCAACATCCGATGCAGATGTTTGAAGGGGTTTTCTTCGTTTTTTGCATGAAGAGATCTTGTCAGCGATCTTGCAGGGCCAACTCAGGGATCCATTGGTCCATGCGTCTGCTTTCTTTGCAATACGTCCCCAGCTCCTTCAGTCTGTAGTGGTCAGCTTGTTGATTCTGGGAATAACAAAAAGAAACGTTAGACTTTGAGACAACAGCACATTATTACATTGTAAGAATTAACTAAATGTAACTACATGTAGAGGAAGCTGTCATTTAGTAGAAGAAACCAAATTGGAGATAGTGAAGAGCTTTTCTAATAATAATAATAATAATAATAATAATAATAATAATAGCATTAGCCATAGTACTGGAGTTATGAGCTTGTCTCCAGTTGACTATGAGATAAATAAATACAAGTTGTCATATAAGCTACAGTGACAGTGTGTATAGTAATTGTGATCTACCATTACAAAGTTGTGCCATTGGTTTTAAAGTTATCAACCTATCTTTATAAAAGCAGTGCCATTTTTTGATGTCTGTGAGTAACTTATAGAGAATATTGTGGCGTGATGGACTTACCGTGACCAGCATGCAGTGGAAGTCCCCGCTCTCCTCCGTGTTGCGGTTCCAGTCCTCGGCCTGGAGCAGCCTCTGGAGCCTCTGTACCCCGGACACTCTGAGGATGGTGATGTTGCTGTCACAGCAGAACGCCTGGAGCAGCGTGAAGTGGATCTGCAACGCAATGTCTTCTTCATCATCCACCACCAGCACACAGAGAGCCACACTGTCAGGGTCACTGCAGAGAAAAGCCACACATGGTTAGGTCACATTTATCAAAGGAGAAAGCAGAGAAGTTTCACATGTCATAGAGAAGGCAAACTAGTACTTACGCAACGAGGAGTTTAGCCGATTCGTAGATGCCAACTGTGAGGCAATCCTGTCTTTGAGCTGTGACCAGGAGCTCCTCCAAGGCAAGCCCAGCAGAGTGCATCCTAAAGAACGAGATGGCATGTTAGCATTCAAAATACAATGTATGTGTATGTGCAAAAAAGCTGTGTCAATGCTGTTTAGAAATGCGTTATCTATGTACAGTAACTACTGATTGTATGGGAATAAGTGTCTTTAAAACATAGAGTCTAATCTTAAATGCATCCATGGTGTCATGTCTTGCATTCACTAACACTGCAGTTAAGTAAACTGTGATGTAAGCCACCTTGTACAAGATGCAATTCTAGAGCATGGTCTATGACATATGTGGGGCTATATCTGTAGTTTCCTATGACCACACACATGCATTGCTTGTGCAGGTATGAAGTTTCCCCCACAGTAGAAGTAAGTGCGTATAATCTTACCTGTTGGCCATCACCTCCGATCCAAAGTTATCTTCAGGAATCATGCTTGCAAAAGATCAATAATCCAAAGTGCTTGCAGTAAAAGAACAAATAAGTTATGAGATAGTATTCCCAGTGGAGCCGTAGAAGTCTCCTAAAGATAGTGAGAATGTGTTTCTGACTGTAGTATTTATACTGGAGCAGAGCGAGGGGGCGGGACCGAAACCTGCGCTGCGTTTTGATTGGCTCCACTGCAGGCTCGCTGTCATGTGCTGCTGATGAGGGAACTTACTTAACACAACAAAGCAGCGTGGCCTATTAACACCTTGTAATGCTCTCAATTCCCACTTGAAGAAAGACTAACATGAAAGATAGAACGATGACCCAGAGCCTGAGACCTGTGAGGTGGATAGTGTAGTATGGAAAAGTTATTGCAAATGTTGACGATAAATGTCTTAACTGGGGACATCTGCTGGCAATCCGTGGACATGCAATATTTGTCATTGATCAAAACACTCATCAGGTATTATTGCATTGTAAACATATAATGATTGAATTGATTAAGTGCATTATGAAGTGTTATGTTAAATAAGCGAGTCAGAGAGCCAGCGAGATGAGGCTCCTTCTGACTCCTGCAGTAACATACAATGTACATGTCCCAACAAGTTTGTTTTCACTTTAATATCATTTTTGTGTTATGTATTTGCAACACTGTTAATGTCATTGTTGTAATTTGATTACATGTTATTGTATTTTTTGGAAACATGGATACTAGCTGAAGAAGCTGTGAAGCTATAATCTGGTGCAGAACATGTCTTTGAGTTTAATATTGCTGCATGTGCGTAGTGCACAGCATGAACAAAGACCAAAGACTAAACTACCACTGGTTAATAGAAATAAAACCACATTAGAGTTTGAGCCAAGATGTTGTCCTTTGCATCAATGACAATTACATATGTATTGTTTATGTCACTTCTGTTGCACGTGCGGATGGGTTTTTTGTTCAAATAAATGCAGTTAAGCCTCCAATCCTCACTGTATATCACGTGTGGTTGGATATCATTGAACAATTTCATCAATAAAAAATATTTAATGAACAAAAATTACTTTGCACTGCTCAATGTACATTATGTGTGCACCGAGTGCACTGATCTATAGTAACAGTTGTAATAAATTTACTTTTAACTCCTTCTTTCTTGAAAAAGCCACTTTAGAGATGTTTAGTAATGTTTTATTATGCCTTATTCATCTCTATTTTGGACTTGATTGCACCGAGAGCCAAAGCAAATTGCTATAGTCTGTGACTTCCTGTTACTTATATGGTAATAAAAATTATTCTGATTCTGAAAAACAATAAATATTCTCATTGATTCAACAAAGACAACATATTGGCCCAAAAATGCATAAATATAAATATTTATAGTATTTTAAAAGTATTATAAATGTGTTCACTCACTATTTTCACGTGTGGCTTATACATTTTTCTACCATTATACAATGCTACTAAAACAACAAAAGTAAATAAGATGAACTATAGTAACTGCAGATTCATTCAAAATTACTAAACAATACATAAATACACAGTTTTTGTTTGCATAGGATTCTTTAATTTTCCATCATATTCCCAAGTTAAAAATTTCAGAAAATGAAGTTTTGCCCAGTGACGCACACACAGCAGAATAAGAAAGAATAAAGGTCACATCAAGAAAAACGTTTTTCCATTTTGTCATTACACAAACTGATACAACACTTGATAAAACCTCATTATACAAAGTAGCTTGGAGTATTCTGGAAAATTATAGTTGTGCAACAAAGTGTCAGGGAGAGCAGGGTATTGCTGCCCTCTGGTGGATGGTCCTTGCATCTATATCAACATTGCATAAAAAACATGAACGAATTATATTTAGTCATGAAGCAATTTAACTGTAATATAATCAAAACTCTTACAGAGAACACACTCACGAGGGATCGTTAGAAAGATTGTCTTCTAGTTATGTATATATTTATTTAAGCCTTTGACTTGAGCAATAGGCCATACAGTCACAAAAGCGGAGTATTTAAGATCAGAGGGAGCTGAGATTAGGTCTTTAAGGTCAACAATCACATGACTCTGGCTCCTCACTTATTTGCATCATCTAAAGAGCAGATCCATAAACCACTGCGACACATTTGCATCATAAATGAGTCTGATATTGTCATGATACAAAGATCGAAAACAGCTTATTGCTCTGTGCTGGGTGAGCTTTATGAACTCAAAATGGCCACTTAGATTTTTAATAACTTTTCCATTGGGATGTAATGTGTCTACAATGGATACTTATTGGCAGAAATCAAAGGTGTATTTTGAAACAATCATACAAGTAAAAAAGATACAAAACTATACGCAGACAATTAATCATTTAAACCAGGAAATGAAAACACATTGAAGTTCCTATTGTTTACTGTAATATATTTGCGTTTATTAAAGACAATCTGCACAATAAAAATACTGATCTTTTTATGCTTTATGTTACAGTTCAAAACTTTGGGGATTACACATGTTTTGTGTAATGTACTATATGATCATAATCATGAATACGGCCTGCAGCTCAGACTATTTATTTTACCGAAGAAAGGCTGGACTCAAATATAACGTATATGATCTTTGGAATCTTTGCAATGTGATTTATGAGCAGGGTCTGACCAAGAGCTTTACAATGCAGATTAATTCAGTGATATAAAAAGATTTTTTTTTTTTTGTATAGGATTATTTATTTTTATATGAAAACAACAGCTACATTTATTTTTTCTCAAACCCAATGTATAAATGCCTTTGACTACTGTCCACTGGGTTAATTTAGAAAATGAGCAATATTGCCATGAACTTATACCACAACAATCTTATTTTTGAAACTCTGGGAGAGCCTCCCCGGTAAGGTCTACTCCAAGGTACTGGAGAGGAGGCTACGTCCGATGGTCGAATCTCGGATCCAGGAGGAGCAGTGTGGTTTTCGTCCCGGTCGCGGAACACTGGACCAGCTCTATACTCTCCATCGGATACTCGAGGGTTCATGGGAGTTCGCCCAACCTGTCCACATGTGCTTTGTGGATTTGGAGAAGGCGTTCGACCGTGTTCCCCGGGGTGTCCTTTGGGGGGTCCTCCGGGAGTACGGGGTCCGGGGTCCTCTGCTGAGGGCTGTTCGGTCCCTGTATGACCGGAGTCAGAGCTGTGTTCGCATTGCCGGCAGTAAGTCAGACCTGTTCCCGGTGAATGTTGGCCTCCGCCAAGGCTGCCCTTTGTCACCGGTTCTGTTCACTGTATTTATGGACAGAATCTCTAGGCGCAGCCAGGGGCCGGAGGGGGTCCGGTTCGGGAACCACAGGATTTCATCGCTACTTTTTGCGGATGATGTCGTCCTGTTGGCTCCAACGAACCAGGACCTGCAACATGCACTGGGACGGTTTGCAGCCGAGTGTGGCGGCTGGGATGAGAATCAGCACCTCCAAATCCGAGGCCATGGTGCTCGACCGGAAAAAGGTGCCTCGCCCTCTCCGGGTGGGTGGAAAGGTCCTTCCTCAAGTGGAGGAGTTCAAGTATCTCGGGGTCTTGTTCACGAGTGAGGGAAGAATGGAGCGTGAGATTGACAGGCGGATCGGTGCAGCGTGCGCAGTGATGCGGTCGCTGTATCGGACCGTTGTGGTAAAGAGGGAGCTGGGCCGAAAGGCAAAGCTCTCAATTTACCGGTCAATCTTCGTTCCCTCCCTCACCTATGGTCATGAGCTGTGGGTAATGACCGAAAGAACGAGATCGCGGATACAAGCGGTCGAAATGAGCTTCCTCCGCAGAGTGGCTGGGCGCTCCCTTAGAGATAGGGTGAGGAGCTCGGTCACACGGGAGGAGCTCGGAGTAGAGCCGCTGCTTCTCCACGTCGAGAGGAACCAGTTGAGGTGGCTCGGGCATCTGTTCAGGATGCCTCCTGGACGCCTTCCTGGGGAGGTGTTCCGGGCACGTCCCACCGGGAGGAGGCCCCGGGGAACACCCAGGACACGCTGGAGAGACTATGTCTCTCAGCTGGCCTGGGAACGCCTTGGGGTCCCCCCGGACGAGCTGGAGGAGGTGTGTGTGGATAGGGAAGTCTGGGCGTCTCTGCTTAGACTGCTGCCCCCGCGACCCGGCAACGGATAAAGCGGAAGAAAATGGATGGAATGGATGGATGGATGGGAGAGCTTCATATTTATATTTATTCAAGCCTTTTGACTATAATATCACCTTGTTAAAGATATATAAAAAATGCCTTTAACTTATACCACAACATTATTATTTTTGATACTCTGGGAGAGCTCATGGTTGTTCAGTTTCCTCCTGATCCTGAGGTGGGAGGTTGTCGAAGAAGCTGTCTGCGTATAACATGAGGTCCACAGCCGATAGAAGCAGGACGTCCAGCTCTGTGTCGATGCAGGACAGACTGCCCAAAGACCAATTTCTGGGTAACCCGCGTGATAATGTCTGCAGTACCGCGGGCGCCCCCTGTGCCCGTGGGTGAGACAGCTATAAGCTAATATATACCCTTTCCAGATATTATTATAGATCCATGCCAAAGACTCACTCCCCTCACGGACAATGCAATCATTCACCTTATGATTTCTTATTTTGTTTTGAGAGAGAATGAGCGCTTTGATGTACTTTTTCCATACTTTTCCTAACACTCAAAACAGCTTCAGTCTCACTTATTATTCATTTTGAATAACAATAATAAATCCACTACCCGTTCATCATGCATTTGCAACATTTTGTGTTTTCAACATAATTTTTCCCCTTGTCGTGACTCCCAAGAGTATATCCAGGTCATGTAGGAAGGTTTGATAATGTAACGCATTTACATATTTAAATAAATAAATAATTAGATAAATAAAGGAATAGAAATGTTTCATAAATTATACTTTTTATTACTACTTAACATGGCCTGTATAGAACCTTTACTAGATAAAAACAGGACCTGACAGGCTTTTTCTTTTTCGCTTGTTATATAAAAGAAGCTGGACTTTCCTCCAATTATCACCATCAGCACCCGTGCATCCTTCACGC